GAGATCTAAGGAAGAAATTCTTCCCTCTGAGGGTGATGATGCACTGGACCAGGTTGCTCAGGGCAGCTGTGGCTGCCCCATCCCTGGAAGTGTTCCAGGCCAGGTTGGATGAGGCTTTGGGCAACCTGGTGTAGTGGAGGGTGTCCTGCCCATGGCAGGGGGGTTGGAACTAGATGATCTTTAAGGTCCCTTCCAACTCGAACCATTCCATGATTCTGTGTTTCTATGTAGAAGACTGAGACCACACAACCTTCAGACCCTCGTCTGTGAAGGCAGTGCTGAGAGGTCTCATGAGGACCACGATGGAGAACAACAAAATGAAGAGGAGATCTGAACCTATGGTGAAGAAAATGAGGTCCGGGACACAGATGCTGTTGAATGCCATTTCTCTGAAGGGCAGCCAGTTCACTGCGGGATGGAGGCAAAGAGGATGAGACGAGGTGCTCCGTGGTCACCAGGCAGCCAGAGGAGATGGAGGACTGGGGTATGATCAGGACTATGCTCCTCTGTGGGTGCATCAGCCCTGTGTTTGGCTACCCTCACGGTTGTTGGCATGGTTGTACATCTCTGTGGAGGGCAGAGAGCCATCAGCCTGTCAAGGGTCGAGGCAAAAAGCACTGCTGACTCCAGGAAGGTGAGGGAGCAGAAAAGGAACAGCTGAGACACGTGGGGGTACAGGCTAATCGCCCTGAGCAAGGACCGCAGCACCCCTGGCATGGTGGAGAGACACAGCCCAAGGTCGGTGAGGGCCAGCACCGAGAGGACATGATGCAGGGCTGGTGGAGGCTTTAGTCTGCTTTTCTGGCATACAGAATAACACAATTTCCAATCCTTGTGGTGACATCACAATAATTCAAGGTGGAAAACTGGAGTAAGATGTCCCTCACAGCTGGGGAATGTGGTTAGCAGAAAGGCTGTGACCATGAGGCTGGTCCAGGCCTAACCCCCATGAGGGGCTCTTGATGTCCCCTCACTTCTTAGGAATTATAGTCTGCACAGCCAGGATTTGGTTCAGGTCTAGTTTAGAAATGACAGAAAACCCCTGAATCCTTATGAATTGCATCATAGAATCATAGAATGGTTTGGGTTGGAAGGGAACACGCAGATCGTGCAGCCCTGAAGGGATGGGAAGCTCACGCTAACAGGCTGCTGATGGATTGTTCTCCTCTTTCATGGCAGCTTCTCTCAAAGCTGAGACAGCAGAGCAAACCTTTGATGGATGAGCACAGCGTGTTGCTTTGGAAAGGAAGGACGGGAATTTCCACAACAGCACAAACTGATCACGGAATAGATTGCGTGAGAGGAGGATCACTTCTTGTTAAAGTGGGTAGGAAAAGGAACCAGGAAATAGTGTGAAATTACACAAATTAGAAAAGGCTTGTGCCCTGTGCTGCGACGCCCGCTCTTGCCCAGCCACCGGGAGACGTCACCCCTCCTCCAGCAGCCTGCCCTCCCGCGGCCCCGCCAAGCGCAGCCCCCAGCTCTGCAAACGGTGGGACGGGACATGAAATCTATTTATCTCCTAACAGGTGTTGCGTGCAGTTCTTACACGTATTAAGAAAAATAATTAGTCTAATATCTGCGCCGGGATGATTAATGGCGTCAGTGCAACGGAAGATGCGGTGGGGTGTGTTGTGCGTATGAGAGAAGCTTTTGGGTTTTCTCCAGGGTGAAACCCTCTCGCTAACTGCCGTGGCATATTGCCTGGAAATGAAACCTTAAAAGCTCCTGCTTGGAAATATAATGAATGGATGAAATCCCAGCGCCTTTGAAGGAATTCTTATTCAAAGTTTGATGTCAGCCTACGGAGCAGGCTAACTGGAGGGCTGTTAGGCAATAATTATTTTTGTCCCTCCCGATCCCCCACACGCACGACAGTAACAGGAGCAGGAAAAAACCTCAGTTCACTTTTTAGCATGAGCCGAAATTGCTCTTGAACTGACCCTGTGGTGCCCCCGGTGGGGCTGTGCTCAGCGTGAGGCACGACTTTGTGCCTCTGGAGCATCTCAGCAGACAGGTCTTGCAGCTGGTGGGGTCGGGGCACAAACATGGCAAAATCCAGCCATCCGTGCGATGTGTTGGGTGTCTTTCCCCGCACTACTTGGAATGGAGATGGATGGTAATGTGCTTGTTCTGATTTTGTAAAAGATGCTTGGTTGCATTTAGAATCATAGAATCGTTAGGGTTGGAAGGGACCCTAAAGATCATCCAGTTCCAACCCCCCTGCCATGGGCAGGGACACCCTCCACTACACCAGGTTGCCCAAAGCCCCATCCAACCTGGCCTGGAACACTGCCAGGGATGGGGCAGCCACAGCTTCTCTGGAGAACCTGTGCCAGTGCCTCAGCACCCTCAGAGGGAAAAAGGAGGATAAGTAAATACGGACGTCGTTTTCTCCAAGAAATGACATGGAGATACCCAAGCTGTCTAATGGCTCCTGCTCCTGCAGCAACCATTTCTGGCGGCTTTTTACACCGCCCGTGATGTTATGGAGATCTTTGGACAGAAAATCTCTCTGCCTGTGAAACAAGGGGGATCGTTTTCAGAGTGCCAATAGGAGAGGGCTGTGATCTGTGGAGCCAGAAGCAATCCCATGGGTGAGACCCGAGGGATGGGGCCAGCTCTGCTGGCTGTTCTCCATGAGCCGTGTTGTGCGAGGGCTGCCTGGGAACAGGACCACAACTTTTTTCCTGTGTCACTGGCAAAATTGGATGTCATGGCAACTGCTTCAAAAACCTTGAGAAAAATCACTTGGAGATTAAGAGATTTGTGATCCACCCCGCTTGGTAACTTTGGAGAAATGAAGGTTTGGAACTCTGGAGTGACTTATCATAGCTGAGCTGACTCATCTTTCCTTCTTTCCGCCCCCTCTCCTCCTCCCACCTCTGTTTAGTGCCCTTCCAGCCCAAATTGCCTTCAGTAAGAAAACCAGACGTGCTCATTTTCCATCCCAAACCAGAAGGGGCAGGGATAATGTTTCAGAGTTTCTCTTTCATATTTCAAAGACTCACCCGGCCAGAAGTGCGGGAGTTCTTACTGTCTGGTACAAAGTGAACTCAGAAACCAAATTATCCCCTTTTTTTATTTTTTTTGGTTTTGTTGACAGCCTTTTATCATGTCTCCCTCAATCTTTCTTTGTCCAGGCCGAATGGCCACTGCTGTGCAGACAGGCCCCTATGCCCCACCCCACAGAAATCCAGAATTCCTGCACTACAGACCCACGTACCCGCTGTGCAGGAACAAACATCATGGCCCTCAGTGTGCTTTTGACAAATCCGTGCTCTCAAACCGCGGTGACTGACCGGGACTGGAGAAGCATCACCTGTGTGCTTACAGGGGCGTGCAGTGATAGGAGAAGGAGTGATGGACTTAAACTGGAAGAGGGGAGGTTTTGATGAGATCCAAGGAAGAAATTCTTCCCTCTGAGGGTGGTGAGGCACTGGCACAGGTTGCCCAGAGAAGCTGTGGATGCTCCATCCCTGGCAGTGTTCCAGGCCAGGTTGGATGGGGCTTTGGGCAACCTGGTGTAGTGGAGGGTGTCCCTGCCCATGGCAGGGGGGTTGGAACTGGATGATCTTTAAGGTCCCTTCCAACCCAATCCATGCTGTGATTCTATGGTTTGTCCATACATCAGAGATGTGCGAATGACCGGGAGGACACGCTGGTCCCCAGAAAGCAGAGCACCATCTCTCCACAGGGCATAGTCCCTCCTGTTATGTGAGAGACCACAAATGGGAGAGTCACCTCCTAGAGACCACCCAGCTTCTGCAGGGTTGCCGAGTGACGATTAAGCTTACCCAAATCCTGCCATGGTTTGGGGCTCAGCCACGCACCCCGTGGCCATGGCAGCCTTTCTGCAGCGGGTGGCTGTGGTGGTCCTCCAGGTTGCATCTGCAGGGACAGACATGGAGCAAGTCACCGAGATGCACTCCAAAGCTTTCCCGTTACTTCTGCAGCAGTGCTCAGAGCTGCACAGACCACCGCAGCCGCGAGCACTGCAAACACCTGCTCGGATGGAGACCTTTTTGCAGATAAGCTCACCCCGTCCTACTCGGCACCCCTACCACTTTCCCCACGTACTGGCCATGTGCTGCCTGGTCGTGTCTCAAACAATCAACCAGCTTTGTTCTCCCTCTGTCCCACGTCTTCCAGGGAGGAACCTCTTTCCATGGAGTGGAGTGCTTTGCTTCGGGACAGTTTTGTTTGGGAAGTTTCTATTGGCTTTATTAATAATTTTTGGCTTACATATATGAAATTCTCAGTGCTGGACAACACCAGAGAGAAGGATCTCCTTGCAGTGGGGAAGAAAGGCGAGACTGTGTGTCTTGGCCCTTTCTGCATGTCTGAGTCTGCCCCAGGCAGTGAGCTCAGGTACATGGCTGCAATGAATGCAGCTGAGAGGCGGGCACTGTCGGGCATGACCCGTGCTTGAATCATTGCTGAACCATTTTCCGTTGGCACCTTGGGACAACATTCCGGCAAAGCACTCCACAAACACTAGCCCTGGCCTTAGATTTTTCTGTTTTGCCTCTTTGTTTTAGTTGTCCTATCCATAACGTGGGGAAAACAAAATGTATGTATCTTTAAAAGGGTTTATTTGGATTTCACGGCTGATGTTTGAAAAATTACGTGTTTGTCACTGTGTAAAAGTGCTTTTGCGTGGCCAAAAAGCAGGAGCTCAACCTCCACCCATGCAGATACGTGCTGAGCCCGTAGGCCCTGCACCATCCTCTCTCCATCCCTTTCCCAACACTCTCTCCCAAAAATTTTGCAATGGAAGAACTTACATCTTCTCAATCACACAGAGACAGAAGAGTGAGACACCACTTTTGCACTCAAGGCTTGGCAGGGATGTGTATATTTTTCTAGGGGTGCAAAGATCTAAAGATGCACTCTATTTTACCCCAAATCCAGTGATGAAATCTAAGCAGATGCTCCCAGCATCTCTTTCTTACCTTCAGATCTAGCTGGCAGGTGCAGAGCAGCAGTTTTACCCCGGAGCCAAAACCTACACTTGGGGCAAATAATTGACTTTATTCAATGTTTAACATTTTAAAACTTCACAGTTCTATTTTAAAAGGGAAGAAAAGCCTAGTGAAAATTAATTTTTTTTTTTCCATTGGAACTCTGAGCAGCATTTCCCAAACGTTTATGACCCTCATGTTCCCTCTCGCAGCATTTACCCTTTCGCTGCTGCCCAGTGGTGGCAGCTCGAGGTACGAAAGGGATCACCATCACCTTCCTGCACTGTGCAGCTGGTTTGCATTTCATGTCCTCAGCCCCTGCAGCAGCTCCCAGGTGACTGTCATTGCTGCTGAGAGTTCACACAGGCGTTATAAAAACAGACAGCTTCCTTGGCATGCGGGGTGCTCAGGCAGGCTTGGGCTCTCTTTTTTTTCCTGCATCTTCTGCCTAAGGACTTCAGCCAAACAGAGGTAAGGGCATCTGAAGGGTCAATGTGCTTCCATGTCAGTCTTGCTTCCTTGTTGATGTTTTAATTTGGGATGGGTCATTTTCTGTTCAGATTTGGTGATAAAGGGTGGCTTTGGTTCACAGCTGGATTGTCTATCTA